GTCAAACGCAGGAGAATCTGGCAGAACATAACTGCCTCAGAAACCTTTATTTCTCATCTTTTTTTCTGGCTGTTCGCTGTTTGTGCCTTACTATTCATGCTATGATTTTAAAACAGATTTTCCTAACCCCCAATGTGCCCCAACTTCTGGCGACATTCTTCTCAGTCTGTTGAGATGTTGCCCCACTGTTTTGCCCTGGGGTGCAAGACTACCATTTCTCACTGCCTGCAGACACCGACTTAACTTCTCTTACTCTCAGATTAGTAATTTGTTAAGGGTAGGCATAAACACTGATCTGTGTGTGTGCAGGTGTCTGTGTGTGTCTGTGTCTACACGCATGCTCAAGGAAACTAGTCTAAATTTCTAGATCCTGAACCAGAATTTTGTAATTTGTGAAGACACAACATAGGTATAAGGAATAATTACTGAATGAAATGGAGTAATGTTATGTCAGTATTGTATGTAAAGTTCTTGAGTACACATTACTCATGATTAGATACTATGTAATCTGTAATGCAATTTCAATTCTAGGGATATAAAAATGACTACAAAGGAGGTTAAGAATAAATTGGCCAGCATTAGGTGAAATGAACAGAGAAGGTATTAGAAAGATGTGAGTTTGTTTTAAATTTTCATACAATTTGGATTTTTCAACAAGATTCAATTAACTATAATAAAAAACTTGATGCTCTTAGACTCAGCACGATTATATTTCACAACTGAAGTTTAAACATTCCACAGCTCTCCAGTTTGCTCAGCACTATTTCCTATTGTGCTCATCTATGTTAGGTCTCAGGTGACATGATACAAAAATCCTCAACAAAATATTAGTAAACTGAAATTCAACAAGACACTGAAAGGATCATATGCCATGATCAAATAGGATATATTCTAGAGATGCAAGGATGGTTCAACATCCACAAATAAGTCAATGTGATACACCACGTTAACAAAATGAAGGCTAAAAATTGTATGATCATCTCAATAGATGCAGAAAGAGCATTTGACAAAATTCAACATTCATTTATGATTAAAAACACTCAACAAATTGGTATAAAGGCTGTATATGACAAGCCCTCAGCTAAAATCATATTCAGTGATAAAAAGCTGAACACTTTTCCTTTAAAATCAGAAGCAAGACAAAAATAAGTACTCTTGCCACTTTTATTCAACACAGTATTGGAAAGCCCAGCCAGAACAATTAGGCAAGGGGGAAAACATTCAAATTGGAAAGGAAGAAGTAAAACTGTCATATTTGCGGGGGCATGTTATATATAGAAAACCCTAAAGACTGCACCAAAACACTGTTAGGACTAATAAATAAATTCAGTAAAGCTGCAGGACACAAAATCATTACACAAAAATCTATCACGTTTCTATGCACTAATAACAAACTATCAGAAAGAGAAATTAATGAAACATTCCCATTTACAATTTCATCAAAAAGAATAAAATATCTAGGTACAAATTTAACCAAACAGGTGAGAGATTTATATATCGAAAATAATAATACATGTAACTCAATGAATGGGAGAAGATATTTGGAAATCATATATCTGATATTTTGATATCCAAAATACACAAAATACTTACTCAACAGCAAAAAACACAAAAAAATCTGATTTTAAAAACGGGCAGAAGATCTGAGTAAACATTTTTCCAAAGAAAACATGCAGATGGCTAACAGGCACCAGAAATGATGTTTGGTATCCCTAATCACCAGGGAAACACAAGTCAAAACCACAATGAGATATCACCTCACACCCGTCAGAATGGCCATCATCAAAAGACAAGAAGTAACAAGTATTGCTGAGGATGCGGAGAAAGGGAACTCTTACGCGCTTTGGGAATGTAAATCAGTGCAGCCAGAACGTAACAGAAAAGAACAAATCTGACTCCACATTAGATCTGTTCTTTTGGCTTTAACCCTGTGCCCTGTTTTCTTGGCTTAACCTTGCTAGCTCTGCACCTTTTGTAAAAGAATGTTTCCTACAGCCTGAACTACACAGGAGAGCCTATTCTCAAGGCTCTGCCCTTTAAGGATATTAACACTTTTGCATGCACAGAAAGATAACAAATTGTAGAATGGAAAATACCGTTTGTTTTGTTGGAGGTTTTATAGGGGCACCATGACCTGAACCACGTGGACAGCTGCAAGAACAAAGGATTCCAAGAACAAAGAATTTCCACACGAGAAGTTTGCAACAGCCAAGCACACCCTCTCCCCTATTTAGTATAAAAGAAGCCTGAATTCTGACTTGGGGAAGATGGTTCTCCAGGACATTAGTCTGCCATCTTCTCCATTTGCCGGCTTTCCAAATAAAGTCGCTATTCCTTGCCACAACACTTGTCTCCCAATTTATGTGGCGAGCAGAACGAGTTTGGACTTGGGGACAAGAATGGAAAACAGTATAGAAATTCCTCAAAAAATTAAAAGTAGAAGTAGTATATGATCCAGCAATTCCACTTCTGGGTATTTGAAGAAAATAAAAACACTTACTCAAAAAGATATCTGCACCCCTATGTTCACTGCTGTGTTATTTACAATAGCCAAGATATAGAAACAACCTAAGTGTTCACTGATGGTTGAATGAATAAATATTTTACACATACACACACACACACACACAATGAAATATTATTCAGCCATAAAAATAATGAAAGATGTGATAACATGGATGGACCTTGAGGGCATTATGCTAAGTCAAACAAGTCAGATGAGAAAGACAAATACCATATGATCTCTCTTATATGTGGTTTCTAATCCAATTAAACCAAATCAAAAGCCAAGCTCACAGGTACAGAGAACAGATTAGCCGTTGTCAGAGGTGGGGGGCAGGGGGTGGGAGGAATGGGTGAAGGGGGTTAAGAACAACAACAAAAAGCAATTTAAAAAAATGAATCTTATGCAGCCATTAAAATAATGTTTATCATGAGTGTTCACCAATATGAGAAATGCTTCAGCTATAACTGAGATGAAAAGGGTAACATAAAATTCTGTGTAGAACTTACACCCATTGTGTAGAAACTATGCATGAAAAAATGGTGCATAGGTTAAAAAAAAACAATTGCTTTCTATCTGTCTATCATCATCACTAAAATATAAATATATCCATTAGTATATATAACATTATTGTTGTTATATGTTTGCTGAGCTGCCTGAGAGTAAACTACAGACATGATAACCCTTTACCCCAAATTATTCAGTGAGTATCTCCTAAGAAAATGGAAAGTATGGTACATAACTCACTGTGCAATCATCAAATTCTACTAATGCAAATTTTTGATACAATTTGCGATGTCCTTCCTGATCGGGTCCAGCTTGTCCATCCAGCTCCCGCCTCCCCCTGCCTGCCCCAGGGCCTTTGCACTTTGTGCTCCAGTGTACTCAGCTGTTAGTTCCTTAATGTGCCACATTTGCTCTTGCTGGTTCTGCACCTTTTGTAAAAGAATGTTGCCTAGAGCCTGAAATATACAGGAGAGCCTATTCTCAAGGCTCTGGCCTTTGAGGATATTTACACATTTCCATTCATATGAAGATAACAAGCTGCAGAATAGAAAATAATGTTTCGTTGGAGGTTTATAGGGACACCATGATGTGACCTACATGGACAGCTGCAAGAACAAAGGATTCCTACCCCAAGAAGTTTGCAACACAAGCATATTCCCTCCCCTTTTTAGTATAAAAGAAGTGTGAATTCTGATGTGAGGAAGATGGTTCTTCAAGACGTTAGTCTGCCATCTTCCTGCTGTGCGGCCTTCCTTGCCCCCACACCTCGTCTCCCAATTTACGGGCCTGCTGTGAGGTGAGCAGAACAAATCTGTACTTGGTAACACAGCTAATTATCCCCTACTTTCTCTCTAAACACACCTACTGTAAGTTTTTGGAAGAATTTTTTACCACTGTTTCCTCCAGACTGTGTTTGAAGTCTTTGCAATAGTGGCTAAATCTGACTCAGCTTTGTAAGTTTAATAAATACTTTTTGAATCAATGAATGAATGTCAGTAATTCAAAATTCAGAATGAATTTCAGGATCTAATGGCCAAAATAATTTTCCACAACTAGGCTGTCAACTGATTTTTCAGGAGGAGTTCAGATACATGAAGTACAGAATAGACACTCATGCTCTGGGGGCTCGGAAACACCCTAACACCCAGAGAGACTTATTTGCATGCGGTGTGAAACTTCAAGTGTGCTGATTTTCAAGCTGTTAAAAAAAACACGAGGAAATTAATTCTTCTGAGCAGTCGGTTTCTCACCGTCTTCTCAGCATTAAATTCAATGTTTTTAAACAAAGTTAACAGACAGGAAGTTGAGACAATCCACTCGGTACTCAAATAAAATAGCAAGAAGTCGTGAAAATGTAAACTATGAAGCTAGCGTGTGAGCAAAAGGGGAAAAACATCGTGTTTCCAGTATCGCCACAGGGCGCGCCTACAAAGGGAAGCAAATGTAGCCACGGGCAGTTCAGGGACATTCTTAGTATTTATTGGGCATCACTGCTGAGGTCAAAGGTCAAGAGTCACTAGGAAAAAAATCTTGTTTTTTTTTTCCCTAATGAATTCAGGGAAAAACATATCAAACCTCTAATGAATGATCAAAGTCAAACTTTCTTCTAGGTTAGTGAATGAACAGTTCCCAAATTTGTCCTTATATAAAGATCACTTGACCAGTAAAATCATACAAATGTGTATTCTGCAAAATTCAAATCTGTAATAGTTGACGTGATGGGCTAATATAAGATTAAACCTCTAAAACTTGAATAGAACAGCACATCTTTGACTTTAGAGAAATGCTATTTAAAAGTCTCCTTAGAAACTCCTATTCATGTCAAAATGTATAAATAAGGAAGATTTATTTTACGTCTCATTAGTCTAGCTCAAGTTATACGGACTTGTAATAAAATGCATTAAAACATGATTAAAGTTATTCACAAACTCCAGGTGTTCTTCCCAAATTTAAAATCCACTCTGAGAAAACAAGAGTGTTAACACTTTAGGATCGCAAGAGCTGCCATTTCTTAGTCATGGGCCAGTGGGAAGGCATCGAAAAGGGAGACACACTGCAGTCTATCAGATGATCGATCCTAAAAGAGATACGTGCTTACACACGGGGGAAAATGCAGGTTGAGACCTGCTGGGATTTCCCTGTTACATATTCTTGTAGCTAAGTGCATGTCTCACTATTTCAATTTGACCTTCCCTTTGTGGTATTCCACTGAGGTCTGAGGGTCCCCGCCATGTGACCTACCCTCCAGGATGGGGGGGGGCATGTCTGGCTTTGCTCACCATGGGCTCCCAGCACCCCCCAGGACCCTCCAGGGAGGAAGCACGAGGGAACGTTCCCTGGACGCCGAGGCAGGCCTGGTTCAGGCTGCTGCTGCCTGGAGCTCTAGCACCAGAAGCCCTTATTCTCCATCTTTCCCTGGGGGCACGCGACCTCTTTCTAGGCTGCCGCAGATGCTCTTCTGACTCCGATTTCAAGTGTTTGTGAATTTGGGGGCAGGCGAAAGAACATACTTAAAGCTGAAAACATACGAAGTTTCTCAGGAACTCACTCCAAGTCCGACCACCGCAGCAAGATGCTGCGACGGCGGTCTTCCCGCAGAAGGCACTCAGACAGGCTCTGAGGCACCACACAGAGCTCAGACAGGGTGCAGCCCTGGGCTCTCCCAGCAGAGTCAAAGAAATCAAGCCTTCGGAAAGCCCCTCCAATCTTTTGCTCCTCCTTTTAAAAGACAATAATTCGTATTTTGATTTCTAAGGCTTTGACACATGAGAACCTTTAATTTTAAACCCAACCTGCCTTAGAACGACTAGTAGGCAGAAAACTAAAGCTTTACATAGTTTGTGAAGAAAAGAAGCTAGCATATATATTTTTTTCAACTTGAAAAAAAATCCATTTGCCCTGTTGCATAGGAAGTGCTCCCTGTGCACTATCTCCAGGAATTTAGCAACCACCCAACAGAGGAGGGAGCTACTCAGCTTTAACAGATGAGTAAACTGAGTCAAAGCGTGGGTAAGAAACTTAGAAATGTCATGTGGTTCCCCCGTGGCGGGACTGGAATCCGCTTATTTCTCAAAGCATCTCACCACCCCTAAGGCTGTGGAGTTGTGCTGGGCTCCCCTGAGTTTCTTAAAAACCGTCTTGGACACAGTGTGAGGAGTGGGCTCATGTTCCTCAGAAAGTTAAACACAGGAGACCACATGATGCCGCAGTGCCGTCCTACACACCCAGACGTAAAACCAGGACGCAAACATGTACCTTACACAACTACTCAGAGCAGCCCTGTTCAGAACAGCCTCAAGGCGGAGATGACCCAAATGTCCACCACCGGCTGAACGGATAAACAAACTGTGGTGTGTCGGGGTGTGTGTGTATATATACACACGTATGTATTTCAACCATAAAAAGAACTGAAGCACTGGTACATGTGATGACACGGATAAAACTGGGAAGCGTTATGCTAAGTCAAAGGAGCCAGACGCAAAAGGACAGATACTGTACGATTCCATTTATATGAAATATTCAGAACAGACAAGTCTTAGGGACAGGACGTAGTTCGGCGTTTGCAGGGGACTGGGAGGACAGGGAAGTGGGAGTAACTGCTTAGCGGGTACGGGCTCTCACTGCGGGGTGATGACAAAAGTGTTTCGAATAGATAGAGGTCATGGTTGCACAACATGGGAAACATACTAAACGTTACTAGATTGCTTCTCTCATAAAAAGATCATTTAATGTTGTTTTACGTTATGTGAATTGCACCTCAAAAACAGGCTCAGAGCGTTTCTAGACATCACAGGAGGTAACTGGGATTCCCTGCTTTTATAACTCAATAAACAAGGGAGGTGCTTCCTTTGTCTTCGCACATTGCATTTTCAGTAAGAGGGAAAATCTTGAGCAACCTGTGTGGCTCTTCCCGAATCCTGAATGCTCCCTTGGGCAGAAAAGCAAAGGTGAGCCAAGTTGGGGATCAGAAGGCCAGGGCCAGGCCGGGCTCAAGGAAGTGGGCAGGTCACACCCTCCAGGTGACAGTTATCCATCCATAGATGCAAACGGAGGAAATTAGGCCAGACTGAATCTATTCTCAGCTCTACTTGGAAATGCCTTTGTTTTCTTTTTCTTGGCTGGGGAGCAACGAGACCCTACATAACTGCAGAATAAAGGAAACGCATGTAAAAAAACAAACAGAAAATAACAGAAAAGACATTAAAACAACAGGAAGGAGAATAAATACAACATACAAAAGAAAGTGGTGGCAGCACGAGAATAGGAAGGCTTGTGAAAATGTGAAGTTCTTTTAGAGTGAAGAGCTAGAAAAATAGGACCCACCTGCAGAATACCAGTTTTACCCTTACCAATTTCTCCTCCTCTATTCTGAATTTTGAAAAAAATCTATATTCATAATAACTAGGATGACACGCTGTGGTTGGTTAATCGTCTCGGTTTGCACTGGCCTCGTTTGCTACCAGTTACTGCCTGTCCTCTAGTCCTCACGGCGGGTGAACTGTGCCCCCTCCACCACCGTTTGCTCTGCCGACGAGACCCTGGGGATTTCAGGTGATGGTGTGACATGCTGGGTGGCCCTCCTGCACTTCCGCAGTCACTGTAGAACATCCCCTGCTGGTTGCTGGTCCCAGGAGCAGACCTGAACCCACACCTTGGAGCCCAACAAACAAAACCCCAGCTGATCCGCAGACAAGGGGGAAAAAAACACTTCCTGTTGCTCTGCGCCACTGAGACTTCCAGGTGGTGACAGCGCCAAACTGAATGATACCTCATCTGTCTGGGATGCTCAAGAAGTCCCAGTTTCCTCCTGTAGCCCAGAAAATTACTAATAATGCCTCCTTTCACTCCCAAACTATATATGGTCTCCATACAACAATGGGTGTTTAGCTGCATAAAATAAATTTTTTCAACTTTTCATTTGGGAACTACCTCTGAGACCCACTGGGCTACATCCTCAGGGCTTTCCCAGACTCCTCCTTCCTCTCCCCTCCTTTCTTCCCCACCCCAAATGCCCTTCCCAACACCAAAGTTAACGCTGAGCCAAATGTTAGTTGCTACAGTTCTCTTCCCTGATCCTCAAGCACTGCACTCAGGGAAGGTGTGTCAAACACACTCCTCGGCCTTTGGAGTAGTTATAATCGTTCCGTATCTGCCTCCGCAACTATGAAGTGTGCGCTAAGACAACAGAGACACAGCACTGCATCCCTGGTCCCTGGGACAGTGATCACAACAATGTCAGAAGCTCATCACCTATGAAATAGTCTTGCCAAAAATGCTTCCTCTGAATCTATCCGTGAGGAATTAATCAGACAAACCTAGAAGGTGGCACATTTTAAAAGAAAATCAGTCAGGGTGTCCTTTCTGGGCTGTGAGTTACCTGATCCTACAGCATGGTCTGCTCCTCCCATTAACTTTGACCTATTTTACTGCTGTGGAGGGTGTAGAGGGCCGGTCTGAAAACGAATGTGAGCTTTGTCTGGTGGAGACGGAATTATTTTCCTTCCCCAAAGAAGCCAGGTTTGCATCCATTAAATTCAGGTCACACTCATAATCACTTGTGTGCGTTTCTGCTGTTTACATTCTCCTTTGAATGAGTTTTTGATACTTTATAGGTTCTCTGGTAATTCATGAGTTAAATAAGATATTTAATATTATCCATTTTATATCTGTATGGGAGTCATGACTTTATTCACCTCTAAAATTATCTTAACAGTTTTGGGTATCATCCACCAAGACGCCCAGTGAATTCACCTGACAGAGCAGGTAAGCGACGTGGCTGAGAAGTAATCCTCAGGGGAGGTGTGAGCCCAGGCATGTCTTTTATCAGCTTTTGAAGTGAATTCCCAGTGGCAACAGATTTTTAACTTTATTGACTCTGTTTCTCTAGTTCACTTTTCTCCTCTACAGAGTCTTTGTTTTCTTTTTCTTTCTACGCATTCCACTGGGGTGGCATCAACGATTGGGAACTTGGTCTTATAACTTGTCCACTTGGTCGATGGTCGACAGAGATGTATTCTCTTTTGGGAGACACGACAAAAAATTGCTTTTGTTTTTCTTTGTTTATCTATTTATCTAGTTTGAGCCCAAATTAATCAAGAATTACATGTCCATTGGAAAGAATAGCACTTTTGATAACTGGACCAGTAAGTTTTGGTGTTTGTTTACTCCTGACACACAGTGTAAGTGCTAAAACCAAAGTCTAAGTTCTCCATGTGTCTGCGAGTGTATGTTTCTGTTATGCAGAAATGTCTTTGCATCTTAGTGCAAGAGTGTGAAATGTCTGCTTAATTCCAGACAGCATTCATGAGTTTGATAACAAAATCTCTTAAATTAAAGGAGCATTGTTCTTATCACCTTTATAATAATTAAGTACTTATATAAATTGAAATTACTAAAATTTTCAGAAAATGAAGATATTAACCTTTGACACTAAATGTGCTGGATAAATTTTTTCTTGCAACAAATAACTCAGGAATATTTTAAAAATCTAAATTCATATAATTAAGGTGACTCTTTGGCACATGACACTAGTTTAATAGTTTTGATGTAAAAATTTATGGGCAATTTTTAGGGCAGTGAAAATACTCCATAATGATGAATATGTGTCATTATACATTTGTCTCAACCCATGAAATGTACACCATCAAGAGTAAACTCTAACAAACTATGGACTCTTGGTGATAATGACAGGTCAACATAGGTCCATCAACTGTAACAAGTATGCCGTTCTGGTGGGGGATGGTGATAATGGGGGAGATACTCGATGAGGGGAGGGTTATATGCGAATTCTCTGCACCTCCCTCTCAAATTTGCTGTGAACCTAAACTGCTCTAAAACAATAAAGCCTTCAAAAAAAATCAGGTATGTCTTTTCTCGATTTATCACTATTAACTATAATGCAAGCATACATTTTATTTTATGTGGGTTTGTATTTCCTAAACTTACACAATATACTGCCCAAGTAAGCTAACATTACTCCTGCATAATGTTTAAGATTATTAA